AAATAGCTTACAAATCAAATTTAATTTAAACTAAACAAATTATTAATAAATAAATCAAATACATTTGCATTGTATATTAAATAAACAATAAACTTCCTTCATACAGAGACGACATGGAAATGATGTTAAATAAAATAGTTCCCGAAGGTTTACCCTATAGGCATTCATGTGAAGGACCCGATGATATGGTGACATATATTTTTCTTAATATTTAACAAATTAAAAGAATTCTTATACTAATATTGATTTGTATTTTAAATTTGTTTACAATCTATTTAGGCCCGCACATGTTAAAGCCTGCTTTCTTGGTAGTTCATTGACAATCCCCATAACGGATGGTAAATTATCATTGGGCACCTGGCAAGGTGTTTGGTTATGTGAACATCGTGATCAAGCTGGTTCCCGCAAACTAGTTATAACATTAAGTGGGTGTCCGCGGGAGACAGCACGTAGTCCACTGTCACCAGTATCACCAATTGCCTCAACATCCAGTTAGGGAAGGCCTCGCTCCACCCGTGATAGTCGGTAATCGCGGGGGAGCGACAATAATGAACCCATTTCGTCGAGAAAATTAATTTTGAATAGAAATTTAGCTAATACCAATTTAAATAAAAAATTGAATAAGAGACAAGTAGCGGGAGGAATTGCTACTACAACTACAACAACAGCCGATACTAATAATACTACAACAACAGCAACAACTCCAACAACTAGCGCATTATTAAATGAAAGTAGACAATTATTATTAAAACAACAATTAAAATTAAAATTAAATATAAATGTTAGTGAAATGATGGATAATATAAGACGAAATGTTGATGATCAAACACAACAGCAGCAACAACAACAACAACAACAACAATATTTAAAAATATTACTAGTAATAAAGGACACGAAGTTGAACATCAAGGCGATCGTTTGCACAATCGCATTAACGAAGAAAAAGAAGAAGGTGAACAAGATTATGGAAATGTTGTTAGGAAAGGTTTAAATAAATTAGATACCGTCACAACAGTGCCTCAATTACAACAAAAATTTAATAAATTTAATATAATAGATGAAGCAGCAATTACAACTAATACTACAACAACAACAACAACATCATCTAAAACATGTGTAGCAGCAGCAAAAACATCATCAGCAACAACGTCGTTGTCGTCCTCGTCATACTCTCTAGTAAATAAATCATCATTAACACAACAACAACAGCAAAATACGGCATTAGCTAAATTTAATCGAATTATTGACAATACAGTGCCGGTTATTAACACATACAACTATCAGCAACATGTTGCTGAGACATTAGCCAAAAACTCACAACAACAGCATCCTCATTATCAACATGATGAACTGAAGAAACAGCAACAACAATTTGTAGAGATGCCCATTTTAAGTGATAGTTTAAAACGTAGATTGGCCAATAACCATCATCAATACTATAATACCGACCTAGTTGTAAATAATTCTAAAATTAATTTCTCATCATCAACAGCAGCAGCAGCAGCACCATCAACATCAACATCTGCAGCTGCTACTGCTGTTGCCTCGACAGCAGCCAAAGAATTAGTTGTGGTGGCCTCAACATCAAAGGCTGCCGCTACTGCTAATTTGGCTCGTTTGGCAACAGCAGCAACATTATCATCTTCATCACAACAAGAACAAGAATTTGAGACAACATTGATGAAATTGTCTTTGGATGAAGATGAACATTTAGAACGAAATGATGTTCATTATTTGTTGAAACAATTAAATAGTTTTAGTGATATTGAAGAAATAGAAATTGTTGATATGAAGCAAAAACAGCGTCAGCTACAGCAACAACAACAACATCAATTACAGCAACAATATAACAAAGAGAAAAATTATATTATTGCAAAAGACCAACAACAATCGAGCACCACAATTGAGCAACAATACGAAGCTAAAAGTGATTCACAACATGAGGAAGAAGAAAGAGGATTGGATTTAAATTTTAAAGAATATCAGCAAAAAGAACAATTGGCAGAAGAACAGAAGGCCACTTTCACTAAACCACATGTTGAGGAATCACAGCAACAGATTGTTGTTGGTATGCAAACGTATACTACGGAAAGCAAGCAACATTATCAAACAACATCACCAACAGCAACTTCACTTGTGATATACTCACCATCGTCACAATCGCACAAAGGTATACGTCGCTATGCCTCTCAAGATGAGCACGCCGCCGCCGCTGCCTCCTGCTCCTCATATCAACCTCATCAACAACCCCATCATCATCCCCAACCTCCACATCATCAGCACTATCATCATCATCAACCCCATTATGTACATTTGCCTTATGAGCATTATTCCGAGAGTTCCATATTAAATTCGGTGGCCGCTCAGGCTGTAGCCGCCGATCCTTTGATCTTACAACAATTTGTGGATGATTATATATTTCAATCCTGCCATTATTTGGAAACAAATAATTTTGTTGCCAACTATCGCACTGCCATGGTCGAGTCATCGTCTCATGAATTTCGGCCATCCACCACCACGAACACAACACGCACCTCCAACGAGGAGTTCTATGAGGAAGAAGAGGCCGGCTATGTAGAAGATCATTCATCAGCTCATTCGTTTGAATTGCATGAGACTGAGCCACCCACAGTGATATGTAAGGCTCCGGCGCCTTTACCAGCCATCACCACCATTTCAAAGCGTTCCATACAACAACAACAGTATACCATGGAGACACGTTTATGTAGCAGCGGTGTACAGACTGATTTAACGGCTTCATCTTTAGCTCAAAGTTTTAGCCTTAGTTCATCGTCATCCTCATCGGAGAAACACAAACGTAGACAACCGTTATTTAAATGTTGCTATACTCCACTCGATAGATGGCGCGAAAAGCGTTCACAACAATCGCAAATACAAAAACGCACAAAATCTGCCACGACTGCTGGCCCTAACGAAACGAAATCACACGATCAATTGCAGCCTCAGCAGCAGTTACAGCAGATTACTACTAAAAACTCTACAGTTGCTTTTGTCGGTAGTGGTGGAGGTGGTGCTAGTGGTCCTTCATATGCTGGCTGCAGTAGTGCTATTCTAAATAGCACCATTGCCTCCCTAACATCAGCCACCACTGCCACAACTACCACTACAGCAACTACACTACTAAATACCACATCAACATTGGTTGTACAACCTCAATCACATCAGCATCATCAACAACATCAACAACATCATCATAATCATCTTAATCAATCTCTAACGAATAAAAATAATAATAAAAATAATAATGCACCTTATGCAGTTTGACAAATGCCTTTAAAGCAACAATTTTTTTATGTAAAAATGTTGCTTGCTTTCTGCCATTTATACCTTAAACAAAATAACACTATAGTTTTCCTTTTTGTATAAAAAAATACAACATAATTAAAAAAAAAAACAAAAACAAAAAAAAAAAAACATATGATAATGGAAATTTTTGCCGCCCACTTTAATACAACAACAAAAACAAACAAAATGAAACAAATACACAACAAACAAAACAAAACAAAAAAATGAACGCCGCCGCTGTCTTATTTTTGTAAATCTCTTTTTCCAAAAACTAAAAACAAAAAAATACAAAAACAAAATCACTCTTTATAATTTTTTTGCGATGTCAACAATTTTTTGCTATTTCCTTGTCTTGTAAAGAACAACAAACAAAGAAAAAAAATAGTAATTACAAAAACAAGTAAAACAAAACAAACTACTTTTTTATAACCTCTTAAACCGAAGAAAACATCAATGGAATCAATTTTTAAATCGAACACACACACACACATACACACAAACCAACCAACCTACTCCTCCTATGACACTAATTGCAATTTAAGGGGACATTTTTCTTTAACGATTTTTTTGGAATTTTATGATTTTTTTTTAAAGAACCATTTTGAATTTTCTTTGTAAACATAATGCTGGCAATATATTTGCTAAATTTAAAAATTTTTTAAACTTTAACATTTAGTTAAAAATGTAAAAAACAAGATGTTTGTTGCTTAGCCACATGTTGCTAGGTTCGAATAAATGTTACTGGTGTTATAGCAAGGTATAGCAAAAATAAACTAAACTTTTTGTAAAAAATACTAACAAAATTTAGCAACATTTTGTTCGAGTTTATAAATATGTTGCTGGCAATATGATGTGTAAATTTTAAAACTTGTCATTTAGTTATTTTTAGTTATGTCCAAAAATATTAAAATGTTGAGATAAATTTAAAGAAATAACATATACTTTGCTTAGCAACATGTTGCTAGGCCTTGAAATATTGTTGCAACCACTATTTATTGTAAATTTAAAAACTATTAATCAACAATAAAATTTTTTAAATAAATTAAAAGCTAGTTTTTTAATTTTTGCTATAGCAACATGTTGCTAACATCTCTAATTTAATAAAAACATTTCACAGTATATTTAAATATTTTTTAAAATTCTTATATTTCAATAAGTTTCTTTCAAGTGAACAATATTATTTTAAAAAAAAAAAAAAAAACATTGTAATTTTTGAATAGTTTTATTTGCAACATGTTGCTAGTGTTTCTGTTACCATATTTTAGTAAAATTACAAGCTTGTCCTAACTAATTGTAAAAAATTTGCAATCAATTTAAAAAGAAACTCAAAAATTTTTCTTTAGCAACATGTTGCTGGTTACGTACACATGTTACAGCATGTTTAAGTTTTCTTAAACATTTTATATTAAAATTAGATTCTTTTAATTTTAAAACACCTGTCTTTGAGTTATTGCAAAAAACATTTAACTATTTTTTAAATATTATTAATATTTTTTAAACAGCAACATGTTGCTAAATCACTTAACATATGGTTGGCAACTTACATATTTCGTTAATTTAAATATTGCAAAAAAAACATACAATTTTGAAAAAAATTTCAAATAAAAAAAGAAAATTTCGTTAGCAACATGTTGCTGGTAACACATTTTCAACCTTTTTTATGAGTAATCATGCTCAAAAGTTGTTATAAATTAAATTTTTTAAATGATTTCTGCAAATATAAACATTTGAGTCTTTGAGGAATGAAAACAACATGTTGCTAGAAACACTAATAGTTGCTAAACATCTTTATCATGATGCCAGCAATGTTTTTGTTTATATAAACATTTTCTTTTTATAATTTGATGAAAATATTCTGAAAAATTTTGTTTTCCTTAACAAGGCAAACTTTTGATAGTTTTCAACATGTGGCTAGCAACATATATATACATGTTTATTGTTAAGATAAAATAAGTTCTTCAAAAAATGTGTTTTGCATTCTAAATTTCTACAAAAACTTTCTACTAATGCTTTAATTTTTGAGAATATTAACATAATGTTTTGAAACAAATTCAGCATGTTGCTAAGAAGATTGTGCAATAAAAGAAAATGTTGCTAAGAATTAGAAAAACTAACTACAAAATACATTTGTAAGAAATAAAGAAAATCATTGAGCTTTAGAAATTATTATTTTATAATTTTATTAAAGAAATTGTTTTAATAACTCTATCAACATGTTGATAATAAGATTTAGCAACATTCTCAAAATTAATATTAAAGTTAATGATGAAAAAATAACAACTAGAGTAGTAAAGAAAGCTGCAATTTAAAACGTTTTACAATTTAAGCAACATTTATCAAATGTTTACAACAACTGGCAACATTTTTGAATCCCCTACATCATTAACGAAAATTTTATAATTTTCCTCCAACAAAATTGCAACTAGTGTTATTAACACCAAACAACAGCAAAAAACCAACCAATAAACAAACAACAAAACTATTTAAATGAAATATTATTAAATTTCTTTTAATTTCTTTTCGATAAAAGAAATATTTAAGAAATTTTTTAATATTTATATTTCTTACAAAAAAATACTACTTTTTTTGAAAAGTTTATTAATATAACTAACGCGCTCCTAAACTTTCCAAAAAAAAAATATATAAGAAACCGAAAACAAAACTAAAATAACACTCTAGTTTTCTCACCATCTCTTCTTCTTGTTGTTATAACATTTTTTTTTTTATAAAAATTATAATAATAATACAAAAAATTACTAAAAGAAAACAAATCAAGCGTAAAATAAAAATTTGAGAACCACAAAAAAAGAAAAAATATATAAGAAAATAAAAGCAAATAATCATCATCTCTTACTTAATCATTAAGGTCGTTAATGTTTAAAACAAAAGCGAAAAAGACCATTTAATATGTATAGTATAACAATAATTAAATAAAACCAATTACACACATTAAATTTAAAATAATATGAAAAAAAACTAAATCAAAGATTAAAAAAAATAAATTCTGTAAAATTTTTACTATTAATAATATCTTTTGATTTGTTTTTTTATTTTATATATATATTTTTCTTAATTTCTTTAGAATTTATATATTATTTTTGGGTATATAGTTGGGTTTACTTTTTTTTTAATTATAATTTTATTACTAATAATTTGAAGTTTAATATGTTATATTACTACTAATTATTTTCTTGTTAAGTTTTTGGTTTAATAAATAATAATAATAATATTTTTGTTTAACAAATATTTGTTTTTTTTTAGTTTACTTGCTTTTTTGTTCATCACTTAATGGTAAAGTTTCCCATAATTTCTTATCGGGCATAAAGATCAGTTACTGGTCCATGGACTAGTCTATTGATTATCTTATGGACTAGTCTATTTTGACTATCCTATGGACTAGTTTATAGACTATCCTATGGATTAGTCTACTACATGGACTAGTCTATTGACTATCCTAGTCTATAGACCAATCGATAGACTGTTCTATGGACAAATCTATTGAGTATCCTATAGACTGGTCTATGAACTAGTCTATTGAGTATCCTATGCACCAGTTTTTTGACTATCCTATGGACTAGTCTATTGACTATCTTATGAACTAGTCTATTGACCAGTCTTTTGATTATACTATAAACTAGACTTTTGACTGATCTGGGGTACAATTCTAATGCCTATCCTATGGACTAGTCTATTGACTATCCTAGTCTATAGACCAGTCAATAGACTATTCTATGGACAAATCTATTGAGTATCCTATGGACTAGTCTATTGACTATCCTATAGACTAGTCTATTTACTATGCTATAGACTATTCTATTGACTGGTCTATGGACTAGTCTATTGACTAATTCATGAACAAGTCGACTGACTATCCTATGGACTAGTCTATTGATTATCCTATAGACTAGTCTATTCCCTATCCTAGTCTATAGACCAGTCGATAGACTATTCTATGGACAAATCTATTGAGTATCTTATGGACCAATCAATTGACTATTCTATTGACTATCCTATATACTAGTCTATTTACTATCCTATAGACTGGTCTATGGACTAGTCCATTGACTATTTCATGGACAAGTCGACTGACTATCCTATGGACTAGTCTATTGACTATCCTATGAACTAATCTATTGACTATCCTATGGACTAGTCTTTTGATTATACTATAAACTAGTCTTTTGACTGATATGGGTACTATTCTATTGACTAACCTATAGACTACCCTATAGATTAGTCAATTGACTACCCTATAGACTAGTATCTTGACTACCCTATAGACTAGTGTCTTGACTATCCTTTAGACTAATCTATTGATCTATTGATCTTAGTCTATAGACCAGTCGATAGACTATTCTATGGACAAATCTATTGAGTATCCTTAATACTATTATATTGATTATCCTATAGATTAGTCTATTGACTATCCTAGTCTATAGATAGACTATTCTATGGACTATTCTAGTATTATATGGACTAGTCCATTGACTATTCTATTTACTATCCTATAGACTAGTTTATTTACTATCCTATGGACTATTCCATTGAGTCGGCTATGGACTAGTCTATTGACTATTTCATGGACGTGTCTACTCACTATCCTATGGATTAGTCTATTGACTATCCTATGGACTAGTCCATTAACTATCCTATGGACTAGTATGTTGACTATCCAATGGACTATTCTATTGCGTATCATATGAACTAGTCTATAAGTAATCCCATGTACTAGTCTATTGACTGCTTTTGGTACTATTCTATTGACTGCTTTATGGACTAGTCTATTGACTATTCTATGGACTAGTCTATTGACTATTCTATGGACTAGTCTATTGACTATCCTATAAACTAGGTTATTGACTATCCTATGGTTTAGTCTACTGTCTATCCTATGTACTAGTATATCGATTGATTTGGGTACTATTCTATTGACTAGTCGATGGACTAGTCTATTGATTATCCTATGGACTAGTCTATTGACTATTCTAGTATATATACGCTTCTATGGACTAATCTATTGACTATCCTATGGACTATTCTACTGACTAATTCTAAGTCGTTTAAAGATCTTTTCGGCACTGCAGTGGAGTTTTAAGTTCTAACATAATACAAGCCTAAATCTTGTATTATCTGTAATAATTTTTTTTTTCATAATTTTGCTGTTTTCTTTATTTATTGTTTTTTTAGTTTTAATTTATAAACTTCATCTAAAAAGCCTTTAGACTTAAAAAAAACCCCTAAACGGAATAATATATATGAAAAATATTTAATTTTGTTAGGAGAATTTTTTTTGAATATTTAGATAAGTATCAAAAATAAAACATTATTATTAATAATAATAAAAAGCATTTTTCACACTTCTAAAAAAAACGGAAAAAAACTAAAAAAAAATTAAATAAAACACAGCGAAAATAAAAATTCATTATTAAATAATTAATAAATTAAAATAAAACTACATAAATCAATCACCTACACAAAAAAAGCATAAAGTAAACATAAAAAAATAATAATTTAAAACATAATTAGTATAAACTCTAAGAGCCTACCATAAAAAAAAATAATTAAATATAAAATATAATATAATTTAATTTATATATATAAAAAAATAGACAAAGAAAAAAACAAATAAAAAAATAACGAAATTGAATAATAAAATAAATAAAATTTTTATTATTAATAACAAAAAAAATCATTTTCTAGAATTTAGCCATAAAAAATAAAAAAAAAAACACAAAAAATTGCTGCAATTAAAAATAAAATAAATATTTGTTAAAGCATGATTATATAAAAACAAACGCTAAAATAACATAAAAAATAACATATTTTTTAAGTAAAAAAAAAATAAATAAAAATAAAAACATGGTCATTGAGAAAAAAAAAACGCATAAATAATAAGACAAAAACTTTATTAGAGAGCTTGTATAGTAAGTTTAAATAAAAAAAATAATAATTATTATAGACAAAAAAAAAAAACGCGAAAAACTTAAGCTAATTTAAACAAAAAAAAAAAAAACTATGCATAAATTTAAAAAAAAAAATAACTAGAGTAATAGATGATAATAAAATAAAGCTAAATAAATAAATTTTTATTTAATATTATTAATAATAAACAAACAAAAAAAAAAAATACGGCAAAATCCAACATTAAACAAATAATTCATATAAAATATCAATAAAAACCTAAAAAAAAACAATTCATAATAAATAAAAATCAACCACAAACAACAACCTATTATTAATAAATTAATAAAACAAAATACATAAATTGCAATTGTTACATATTATCCCGCAAAGAAAAAAAAAAAAAAAACAAAACAAAAAAAAATACCACACATTAATTAATACTAAAAATTTATAAAACATAAATCCAATTGTTTTAATAAACAAAATAAATTGCATTAAACAAAATCATAATTATAGTCTTTAAAACAAAAACCATTAAAACTAAAACAAAAATAAATTTAAAAAAAAATTGTTAAGTTTGTACCAAAAAAAAAAAAAAAAAAAAAAACAAAAGAAATTAATAAATTAAAAAGAAAACTGAAGAATTAATATTTGTTTAAATTAAATAAATTAACCATAGATTGTTAAAATTAATTAATTATTTTACTATTTTTTATTAAAAAATTGTTTTTTTTTTTTTTTTTAATTTCCTAAACAAGACTTTGTAAACACTTTCAAATCTATTTTCTATTGTTTTCTAAAAAGTTTAGGGCCGATCCGGTTTTATAGGGAGAAATGTAAAACCTGGACGGGTTTTTTTTTAAATAATACTACGAGAAAATGTTGCAAGAACTGGCAATGCTTCAAATAGTTCCTTTAGAAATGTAAATATATACTGAACTAAATCAGTGACTAGTTCTTTAGAAAGAAAGAATCTAGTAATAATACTTTACATTCCCTAATGATGAGATAACTGACAAAAAACTACTTCCGTAAGTGGTTCCATAGTAAACTGAACTAGTTCCGTAATTGGTAATTAGTTTGACATTGGACATTCCCCAATGATATGGGATGATACTAGAAAATAGCCTAGTCTACAGACTATACTACAGACTAGAATATAGACCAGACTATAGACTAGGCTATAGACTACACTATAGACTAGGCTATAGACTACACTATAGACTAGACTATAGGCGAGATTAAAGACCAGACTATAGGCTAGACTAAACTATAGACTAGACTATAGACTAGAAAGCAGACTGGACTATAGACTAGACTATAACCTAAACTATAGACTAGGCAATGGACTAGACTATAGACTGGACTATAGACTAGACTATAAACTAAACTATAGACTAGGCAATAAACTAGACTATAAACTAAACTATAGACTAGACTATAGACTAGACTATAGACTAGACTATAGACTAGACTATAGACTAGACTATAGACTAGACTATAGACTAGACTATAGACTAGACTATAGACTAGACTATAGACTAGACTATAGACTAGACTATAGACTAGACTATAGACTAGACTATAGACTAGACTATAGACTAGACTATAGACTAGACTATAGACTAGACTATAGACTAGACTATAGACTAGACTATAGACTAGACTATAGACTAGACTATAGACTAGACTATAGACTAGACTATAGACTAGACTATAGACTAGACTATAGACTAGACTATAGACTAGACTATAGACTAGACTATAGACTAGACTATAGACTAGACTATAGACTAGACTATAGACTAGACTATAGACTAGACTATAGACTAGACTATAGACTAGACTATAGACTAGACTATAGACTAGACTAGACTATAGACTAGACTATAGACTAGACTATAGACTAGACTATAGACTAGACTATAAACTAGACTATAGACTAGACTATAGACTAGACTATAAACTAGACTATAGACTAGACTATAGACTAGACTATAGACTAGACTATAGATTAGACTATAGACTAGACTATAGACTAGAGTAGACTATAGATTAGACTATAGATTAGACTATAGACTAGACTATAGACTAGAGTAGACTATAGATTAGACTATAGACTAGAGTAGACTATAGATTAGACTATAGACTAGACTATAAACTAGACTATAGACTAGACTATAGACTAGATTATAGACTAGACTATAGACTAGACTATAGACTAGACTATAGACTAGACTATAGACTAGACTATAGACTAGACTATAGACTAGACTATAGACTAGACTATAGACTAGACTATAGACTAGACTATAGACTAGACTATAGACTAGACTATAGACTAGACTATAGACTAGACTATAGACTAGACTATAGACTAGACTATAGACTAGACTATAGACTAGACTATAGACTAGACTATAGACTAGACTATAGACTAGACTATAGACTAGACTATAGACTAGACTATAGACTAGACTATAGACTAGACTATAGACTAGACTATAGACTAGACTATAGACTAGACTATAGACTAGACTATAGACTAGACTATAGACTAGACTATAGACTAGACTATAGACTAGACTATAGACTAGACTATAGACTAGACTATAGACTAGACTATAGACTAGACTATAGACTAGACTATAGACTAGACTATAGACTAGACTATAGACTAGACTAGACTATAGACTAGACTATAGACTAGACTAGACTATAGACTAGACTAGACTATAGACTAGACTATAGACTACACTATAGACTAGACTATAGACTAGACTATAGACTAGACTATAGACTAGACTATAGACTAGACTATAGACTAGACTATAGACTAGACTATAGACTAGACTATAGACTAGACTATAGACTAGACTATAGACTAGACTATAGACTAGACTATAGACTAGACTATAGACTAGACTATAGACTAGACTATAGACTAGACTATAGACTAGACTATAGACTAGACTATAGACTAGACTATAGACTAGACTATAGACTAGACTATAGACTAGACTATAGACTAGACTATAGACTAGACTATAGACTAGACTATAGACTAGACTATAGACTAGACTATAGACTAGACTATAGACTAGACTATAGACTAGACTATAGACGAGACTATAGACTAGACTATAGACTAGACTATAAACTAGACTATAGACTAGACTATAGACTAGACTATAAACTAGACTATAGACTAGACTATAGACTAGACTATAGATTAGACTATAGACTAGACTATAGACTAGACTATAGACTAGACTATAGACTAGACTATAGACTAGACTATAGACTAGACTATAGACTAGACTATAGACTAGACTATAGACTAGACTATAGACTAGACTATAGACTAGACTATAGACTAGACTATAGACTAGACTATAGACTAGACTATAGACTAGAGTAGACTATAGATTAGACTATAGATTAGACTATAGAGTAGACTATAGACTAGAGTAGACTATAGATTAGACTATAGACTAGACTAGATTAGAACTATAGACTAGAATGTAGACTAAACTATAGACTAGACTATAGACTAGACTATAGACTATACGATAGACTAGACTAATAGACTAGACCTATAGACTAGACTATAGACTAGACTATAGACTAGACTATAGACTAGACTATAGTACTAGACGATAGCTACTAAACTATAGACTAGACTATAGACTAGACTATAGACGAGAACTATAGTACTAGACTATAGCTAGACTATAGACTAACTATAGACTAGACTATAGACTAGACTATGACTAGATTATAGACTAAGCTAGACTATAAGACTAGACTATAAGACTACACTATAGACTAGACTAATAGACGTAGAGCCTATAGACTGTACATAGACTAGACTATAGACTAGACTATAGACTAGACTATAGACTGGACTATAGACTAGACTATAACTAAACTATAGACACGATTATAGACTAGGCTGTAGACTGGACTATAGACTAGGCTGCAGACTAGAATATTGACTAGATTACAACTTGTTTGACATCATATATTCCTCGATGATATGGGAACTACTAGACTATGGGCTAGACTATAGACGAGTTTAAAAACTAAGCAATAGACAAGGTTAAATACTAGACTAATCTAAAGAGTAGATTGTAGACTAGAATATAAACTTGACTTTAAAATTGACTACAGACTAGACTTAACACTCTTCCAGACTTGAGTAAGGTCTACACTATAGAATAGATTAGACCCCAAACTGTTTGACATTACACATTCCGCGATGATATGGGAACTACTAGACTATGGACTAGACTATAGGCTAGTCTATAGACTATAGAATAGGTAAAACACTAGACTAATCTAAAGAGTAGATTATAGACTAGACTATAGACTTGAGTTTAGAATGGACTATAGACTAGAATATATACTAGACTACAGACTAAAATATATACTAGACTACAGACTAGACTAAAGACTAATTGCTGCGCTGGTGCCTAGATATATTTCGCAATATTTCAAAGGTTTTTAAACCCAATAAGACTTCTATTAAGTAACGTACAAACTGTTATAATATTAATATCCATTCTTTCTAAAGTATTTATTACAAGTGCTGCCCACTATTAAAACATTTTCAAATATCTAGTATTATTTAAGAAGAACAAAACTAACAACAGTTTAATAAAGTTCAACAAAAACTTTTAATTATTTTAATTAAATTTTGTTAATATTTTGTTTCTTCTAATTTAAATTCTTTCTAAAAACAAACACATACATACAAAAAACATTAAAAAAAACAACATATTGCTGCTCTCACTATCATTTTCTCAAAACACTTCCACTCACGCCTACATACTACATACATAATTAAACTATTCACCAAAGCTCACTTCACTTTATTTATTCACTTACTCAGTCGTCACCCACAACACATACACCCTTTAACATTTTTCTATACACTCTTGTCAATTTTGTTATAAACAAATTTATTATTACAAAAATTTATCTTTTTATCAAAAAAGAATAAAATGAAAGAAATGAAAACCTAAAGAAATATAAATAAAAAAAAACTCACAATTTCTTATAAACCAAAAAAATACTATAAAAAACCAACAAACACCACAACAACAAAAAGAAAAAAAGTTATCAACCAAATGAAAAAAAAAAAAAAAAATAAATAAAAACAATGATAATGATATTTCATATGGAAAAATAAATAAAAACAACAAAAAGAAAAAAACACAATAAAATTTAAAAATATTATAAAAAAATTTAAAAAAAAAATATATAAAAAAAGTTGAGTTTTATTTTCTAGGATGTACATGGGTTTTAATGTATAAATTACATTAAAACAATTAAATTGTTTTGTATGTTTTAGGGGGAAAATTTTTCAAAAACAATTCAACATTTTTAAGTTATTCACTTTTGTTTATTAAATAAAAATCATTTCGTATAAAAAATATCATCATATGTGCGATTTGAAATCATTTCCATTTTACTGTATAGTACGATTGACAGCATCAAATGCATCACTTTTGTGATCACTAACATTGGGACGGGCCTCATAAGTACAAATAGTAACACCATGATAATGGGCTTCACTAAATTCTCCCCGAAGACCTAAAAAAAAAACACAATAAATCGTTAAATAAGAATTTCGCAATATAATGAAAAGTTTACGCAAGTACGCTCTTACCTATATAATATATTTTAGTATTATCATCACCATAATTAGAGGGTATGTGTATGGATAAATGATGGACAGAAGAAAATGTTACAACTCTGGAGAATAGATAGAAATAAGATGAAAATGTTTTGGAAAATTTTTATAAAAACTTAAATTATGTACTTACTTAGGGGCATATTCAATTTCGGCACGGCTGTCTCTGGTCAATTCGAACTCCTGGTCAGCTTTGCCTCTAACATCGTCGAAAGTCATGGCAGGTCGATTTTTAAATCTATAAAAATTGTAAGTCATTTACAAGCAAGTTAGTGTTCAATCTAAAACTTACAATCTCATTTTATTGGGATGTGAATCATCATTGGCTCCCGCAATAATAATACCCTTCAATTTAACATTGCCCGTAAAGGGTATATTGAAAAGTAACTCCTCATCGGCATCACTCTGTACAAACTTAAAAAAAAAAAACAAATCAAATCAAATCTCAATATCATTCCACAATACTTAGCAATATTATTTCTTTACTCACCTCTGTCAAGTCCAAACGTTTCTCATAGGGTTTAAAGACTTTCTTGCCACTACCCTCGGACTCTTCATTTAAACATTCCAAATTTTCCATATCGATCTTTTGATATAAACTATATTCAATGCCCATTTCGAGAGCATGATCTACGTCGGTGGCCTCGTGACCACAACCGTGTCCATGATCATGAGAATGACCGTGAGGCATTTTTAATTAGGAATATTTAATTCGTGCTAGTTTCTAAACAACAAATAATTCCAGCCAGCTGAAATTTCGCTAATTCACTTGAGGTTTTCTTTCAATTGTTTACATTTGCGTGCGTTTTTTGACAATATGCAAAAAGCCATTTCTGCACAGCTGCTTATGTTAGTATTGCAGTGTTGCCAACAACCACAATCACTTTGAGGGAACTGCCAGATATAAATTTTTATTGCTTTGCAAACGTTACTTTTGAATGTGTGTTTCTTTAGGACAGGGTGAATCAAATTCGCGTTTAAATAGCTTATTCTAGTTGGCAAAGCTTTTATGCCATTTCCGTTTGAAAGCGGAAATATAAGCAAGTGTGAATGCGAATTTTGAAATTAGCTGAAAAAAAAATTTATATCGACTGAAAGTTGTACGAAACAGCTCAAGAAAGTAAATTTTAAAATGTTTTGAGTAATACGGGTTGTTTTAAACTAACTACTACTACTAACTAACTAACTAACTAACTAACTAACTAACTAACTAACTAACTAACTAACTAACTAACTAACTACTACTAACTAACTAACTAACTAACTAACTAACTAACTAACTAACTAACTAACTAACTACTACTAACTAACTAACTAACTAACTAACTAACTAACTAACTAACTAACTAACTAACTAACTAACTAACTAACTAACTACTAACTAACTAACTAACTAACTAACTAACTAACTAACTAACTAACTAACTAACTAACTAACTAACTAACTAACTAACTAACTAACTAACTAACTAACTAACTAACTAACTAACTAACTAACTAACTAACTAACTAACTAACTAACTAACTAACTAACTAACTAACTAACTAACTAACTAACTAACTACTAACTAACTAACTAACTACTAACTAACTAACTAACTAACTAACTAACTAACTAACTAACTAACTAACTAACTAACTAACTAACTAACTAACTAACTAACTAACTAACTAACTAACTAACTAACTAACTAACTAACTAACTAACTAACTAACTAACTAACTAACTAACTAACTAACTAACTAACTAACTAACTAACTAACTAACTACTAACTAACTAACTAACTAACTAACTAACTACTAACTAACTAACTAACTAACTAACTAACTAACTAACTAACTAACTAACTAACTAACTAACTAACTAACTAACTAACTAACTAACTAACTAACTAACTAACTAACTAACTAACTAACTAACTAACTAACTAACTAACTAACTAACTAACTAACTAACTACTAACTAACTAACTAACTAACTAACTAACTACTAACTAACTAACTACTAACTAACTAACTAACTAACTAACTAACTAACTAACTAACTAACTACTAACTAACTAACTAACTAACTAACTAACTAACTACTACTAACTAACTAACTAACTAACTAACTAACTAACTACTAACTAACTAACTAACTAACTACTAAACTACTAACTAACTACTAACTAACTAACTAACTACTAACTAACTAACTAACTAACTAACTAACACTAACTAACTAACTAACACTAACTAACACTAACTAACTAACTAACTAACTAACACTAACTAACTAACTAAATGTATATTTCCTATGTACATTTGTTGTTAGTCCAAGTGAAATCTGGGAAAATTTTTCGATTTGCAGTTATTAAGATCCAGGAGTAAAATGGGTAACAGACCTTTGCGAGATTTGGATCTTCAACAATTCTATCACTTATGTTATCAAAATCATCCAAGTCGGTCCATAAATAAGTTTGAAATTATATCAGCTATTACAACAAATTAGTCACTAGTCTTTTCTTTATCTACTCATTTTTAAACAAGGTACTTAATTTTCAGGGGGACGTTACACAGTCGCACAGACGAAATCTATAATTTTCGTCAGTACGAATTTTATTTAATTTTAATTTAACATCAGTTTATATTATTACTAGCTTATTACCCGCTACTTTGTTAGCGAGGGTTTTTATAGAATGAGAAATATGTTGGCTCTTCATTTAGCAAGGAAAAAATAATATGTATTACAAAGATTACAAATTTTTAAATATTGGTAATTCCCTAATTTGAAGAAATGATGATTGTATATGTGTACTCAATTTTAAGTACTTAAAAGTCCACTTTTATAGATTCTCATTTACGCGCCGTGCTCTATATGCTTAATTTCATGTTTTTAGGTTGAATTTTATAGAAAACTCAAAAAATACCAATCGAAGGACGAAAAAGTGCCAAAAAGTTCACTTTTATAGATTCTCATTAACTAAGGCCTCTGCATGCTTAATTTCATGTTTCTAGGTTTAATTTTATGGAAAACTCAAAAAGTACCAGTCGAAGTACGATAAAGTACCAAAAAGTCCCCTTTTATAGATTCTAATTTACTCCAGGCTCTACATGCTTAATTTTATGTTTCTAGGTTAAATTTTATAAAAAACTGAAAAAAGTACCAGTCGAAGAATGAAAAAGTACAAAAAAGTCTCCTTTTATAGATTCTTATTTACTCCGGGCTCTACATGCTTAATTTCATGTTTCTATGTTCAATTTTATAGAAAAATCAAAAAGTACCAATCGAAGAACAAAAAAGTACCAAAAAGGTCCTCTTTTATAGTTTCCAATTTACTCCGGGCTCTATATGCTTAATTTCATGTTTCTAGGTTCAATTTTATAGAAAAATCAAAAAGTTCCAGTCGAAGAACGAAAAAGTATCAAAAAGTCCCCTTATATATTCCCATTAACTAAGGGCTCTGCATGCTTAATTTCATGTTTCTAGGTTAAATTTTATAGAAAATCAAAAAGTACCAGTCGAAGAACGAAAAAGTACCAAAAAGTCCCCTTATATATTCCCATTAACTAAGGGCTCTGCATGCTTAATTTTATGTTTCTAGGTTTAATTTGATAGAAAACTCAAAAAGTACCAGTCGAAGGACGAAAAAGTACCAAAAAGTCCCCTATTATAGATTCTCATTCACTCTGGGCTCTACATGCTTAAATTCATGTTTCTAGGTTAAATTTTATAGAAAACTCAAAAAGTACCAGTCGAAAGACGAAAAAGTTCCAAAAAGTCCCCTTTTATAGATTCTCATTTACTAAGGGCTCTACATGCTTAATTTCATGTTTCTAGGTTAAATTTTATAGAAAACTCAAAAAGTACCAGTTGAAGGATGAAAAAGTACCAAAAAGTCCCCTTTTATAGATTCTCATTTACTAAGGGCTCTACATGCTTAATTTCATGTTTCTAGGTTAAATTTTATAGAAAACTCAAAAAGTACCAGTGGAAGGACGAAAAAGTATCAAAAAGTCCCCTTTTATAGATTCTCATTTACTAAGGGCTCTACATGCTTAATTTTATGTTTCTAGGTTAAATTTTATAGAAAACTCAAAAAGTACCAGTCGAAAGACGAAAAAGTCCCCTTTTATAGATTCTCATTTACTAAGGGCTCTACATGCTTAATTTCATGTTTCTAGGTTAAATTTTATAGAAAACTCAAAAAGTACCAGTCGAAGGACGAAAAAGTACAAAAAAAGTCCCCTATTATAGATTCTCATTTACTCTGGGCTCTACATGCTTAATTTCATGTTTGTAGGTTAAATTTTATAGAAAACTCAAAAGTACCAGTCGAAGGACGAAAAAGTACCAAAAAGTCCCCTATTATAGATACTCATTTACTCCGGGCTCTACATGCTTAAATTCATGTTTCTAGGTTAAATTTTATAGAAAACTCAAAAAGTACCAGTCGAAAGACGAAAATGTTCCAAAAAGTCCCCTTTTATAGATTCTCATTTACTCCGGGCTACATGCTTAATTTCATGTTTCTAGGTTAAATTTTATAGAAAACTCAAAAAGTATCGGTCGAAAGACGAAAAAGTACCAAAAAGTCCCCTTTTATAGATTCTCATTTACTAAGGGCTCTACATGCTTAATTTCATATTTCTAGGTTAAATTTTATAGAAAACTCAAAAAGTACCAGTCGAAGGATGAAAAAGTACCAAAAAGTCCCCTTTTATAGATTCTCATTTACTAAGGGCTCTACATGCTTAATTTCATGTTTCTAGGTTAAATTTTATAGAAAACTCAAAAAGTACCAGTCGAAAGACGAAAAAGTACCAAAAAGTCCCCTTTTATAGATTCTCATTTACTAAGGGCTCTACATGCTTAATTTCATGTTTCTAGGTTAAATTTTATAGAAAACTCAAAAAGTACCAGAAGAAAGACGAAAAAGTACCAAATAGTCCCCTTTTATAGATTCTCATTTACTAAGGGCTCTACATGCTTAATTTTATGTTTCTAGGTTAAATTTTATAGAAAACTCAAAAAGTACCAGTCGAAGGACGAAAAAGTACCAAAAAGTCCCCTTTTATAGATTCTCATTAACTAAGGCCTCCGCATGCTTAATTTCATGTTTCTAGGTTAAATTTTATAGAAAACTCAAAAAGTACCAGTCGAAGGACGAAAAAGTACCAAAAAGTCCCTTTATAGATTCTCATTTACTCCGGGCTCTACATGCTTAATTTCATGTTTTTAGGTTAAATTTTATAGAAAACTCAAAAAGTACCAGTCGAAGGACGAAAAAGTACCAAAAAGTCCCCTATTATAGATTCTCATTTACTCTGGGCTCTACATGCTTAATTTCATGTTTCTAGGTTAAATTTTATAGAAAACTCAAAAAAGTACAAGTCGAAGGACGAAAAAGTACCAAAAAGTCCCCTATTATAGATTCTCATTTACTCTGGGCTCTACATGCTTAAATTCATGTTTCTAGGTTAAATTTTATAGAAAACTCAAAAAGTACCAGTCGAAAGACGAAAAAGTTCCAAAAAGTCCCCTTTTATAGATTCTCATTTACTCCGGGCTCTACATGCTTAATTTTATGTTTCTAGGTTAAATTTTATAGAAAACTCAAAAAGTACCAGTCGAAAGACGAAAAAGTACCAAAAAGTCCCCTTTTATAGATTCTCATTTACTCTGGGCTCTACATGCTTAATTTCATGTTTCTAGGTTAAATTTTATAGAAAACTCAAAAAGTACCAGTCGAAGGACGAAAAAGTACCAAAAAGTCCCCTATTATAGATTCTCATTTACTCTGGGCTCTACATGCTTAATTTCATGTTTGTAGATTAAATT